TTATCGTATCTGACAGACTCATTTGTGAAGTAGGTTGTACACAAGGTCAACAGTTCAACCTCACATTGGGTGAGAGCAGTCCATGTACCAGAAACACCTGAATTCCACTAGTGTCCTGTCATGATTCAGGATTTTAAATTCTGGAGACAAGTGTTCTATTAATGAGCTGTATCCTGAAGCCTTTAAATTAATTTTAAAAGCCTAATTTTTCAACTAAGTAATGAAAGCAAGAATGTACATATGATCACTCTCATAAAGCTTATTTTTTGAGACGGCAATTTTATACAGAGACTATACTATAAACATAATAAAAGCATTAAAATTTGCAAATAAACCAGGCGGTGGTGGCACATGCCTTTAATCCCAGCACTCGGGAGGCAGAGGCAGGTGGATCTCTGTGAGGCCAGCCTGCTCTACAGAGCAAGTTCTAGGTCAGGCTCCAAAACTACACAGAGAAACCCTGTCTCAAAAAAAAAAAAAAAAAAAAAAAAAGAAATTGCAAATAAGTTGAAGAAGTCTGAGAGACACAGGGATTTCTTGGTATCATTTTTTATATATAACTCCATGGCACTGGTGGACACGCTTTCTTTTTACCTTATCAAGGATCACTGTCAGGTGCTCCTTGCAAGACAAAGACTGGAAGAGCTCTATACACAGCAGAGATGACACGGCATGAGGAAGCAGTCGATGGATAATGACAGGAGATGTGGCGATTCCAAAAATGAGAATCAGTGGAAACTCATGCAGATGCTGACTAGTTTTTAGAAAGATACAAAAGCTTCTTCAGCAAATATATTTCAATGTATTACACTTCAAAATGATTGTTTTAAGACATTGTTATTAAGTTTTCTAGATCATTCATTTTCTTTTTAAAGTAAAAATAATAATAAAATAGCCATCTCCTAGATTCTAACTCTTTATCAATCCTTTATGGATCCTTTCCTTTATAAGTAAGAACCCAGAGATCCCTAAGATTAGACTACCAACTATCATTTAATATACTCTCACCAACTCTGAGCCTCACCCAGTCTTCCTCAGTTTTCCACTAGTCTTCCCTTTCTTTTTCACACATACATTACCTTCACACATATGTAAGTAATCTTTTTGATGGACATCATTCAAAAGAGTCATATCCCTTCCTTCTATTTTTATCCTAAACACACTGAACAGGATTTCATATCAGCACAACTAAGACAGAAACAAACAGCTTCTATGGAGTGGAACAGCATTATTCATAAGGGGTTCTACAAGTCACATTTCTCTGTATTGTGCCTGCTCTCTCCTATTTCCTATTGCTTTCCAAAGTTGGCTGTATGAAGTTCTTTCTATATTCACAGGAATAAAGCACTGTACTCTCTTGTAGCTGTTCTAAGTTCTTTACTTTTGATGACCACAGTCAAATTCAAGTAAAATAACACTGTTATACACCACACTGTTCATCTGCACAGAATGGTAAGAAGTTTTTTTTTAAAAAGTCTTAGGACATTAGCTTGAGAATAGAGTTCAATGGTAGAGAATTTGCACAGGCATGCATGAAGTCTTCGGTTTTATCCCCAGCACAGGGGAATGTTGTGAGGAGGATATATGAATGTATCTACAACTTATTGTTCAATGGGGCAAAAATCCTACCACACCACATTAAAAATATGAATTTTAGTATGTTAGCTGACACAGAGAATATTCAAAAGAAAGTTAACTATACCCTCACAAATATACAATGAGAATGAATGTCATGGCAATTTAAAATAGGGTTAGTTACTTCAATTTTAAGTCTCATAAGATTCCTTTAAAAAAAATTGGGATATTAAAAAAATTCTTACTGGAAATATATAAAAATAAGATACTTTCATACTGAAAACATTTAAGGAGATAATCTTTGTAAGATAAATGACATTTTATACCTATTTACCATGTTAACTAAGAACAGGCTAAATCTGTCCGAGTTCTCAACCTTATGCCAAAAACCAAGGAAATAATTTGCTAAGGGGTCTTTGAACATACAGTTTTGAAAAAAAACTAAAGTAGTTTTGAATTTCATTAAGTTAGTCTTAAAATGAACACTGTGTTTTTAAGTTAAAAGTAATGCTTTCTTAAGAAAAAGGAAAATTTATACAAAACGCCAAGTAACTGGAGGTGAAGCATTTCAACAGGGATGGGAACTCAAAGATGGGGAGAGAAAGGCAAGCAGAACCAAATACTAGAAATGCCTTATGGAAATCGGCGATGCTGCGTGACTGAAAAATAAATAAAACAGGGGCCCATGAGACGGCTTGGTGGCTAAGGCACACCTGGGGACCTGAGTGTGATCATAGGAGAGTCCACTCACAGCTGCCATCTAGCCTCCGGACATACACCACGGCACACATACCAACACATGCACATCGTATTTAGATACACCCACCCGGGAATAATAAATGAAAACACAAAGGTCAACAACACATCATCTACCTGCTGATAATTATGAAGTCTTGGAGTACTTTCGTATTGAAGCTCTCCATATTCTTCAAGATAAGCACAACAGGAGGAGACTGCCATTGTCGACAAGTAGTCCTCTTTTTGCTTGTCATTTTTGGGTCTGTGTTCTAAATCATTGTGGAATGGAGGAGTTAAAAGTAAGCCTTATCAGCCAAACAATACCATAATGCCACTTATTAATAAGCCACTCTTGCTGGGCAGTGGTGGTGCATGCCCTTAATTCCAGCACTTGGGAGGCAGAGGCAGACGGATCTCTGTGAGTTCGAGGCCAATCTGGGCTACAGAGTGAGTTCCAGGAAAGGCTACAAAGATACACAGAGAGACCCTGTCTCGAAAAACAAAAACAAAAACAAACAAACAAACAAAAAAAGTCACTCTTTCTATATTTCACAATGAATGTTTTTATTTTTCCCAAATAATAAACAGTATCTCATTCCAACAGTTACTAGTAAAATCTGTTTCTAGACATAGTAACTGTAAGAAAAAGGTTCAGTAAGACCCATAACATATATAAAGTAAATTTTCTGCTGAAAACGTAAGAAAAAGAAACTTCTATATAATTGATTTTTTTCAGTTGATACATGAGTATGCTCTAATGTGAATTTTATTATCAATGTAAAGGCACAATGAATGTAGTATTTCAAATTTTAAACCTTGAAATGGACAATAAATATTTGGCCAAACCAAACTTAAAGATACTGGACTTAAATTGCCATGACTTTTATTTCTAAATATACCTAGGATTTTGGATCAAATTATTATTATAAGCATCCTTACATAAAACACTTTATGTTCCATACATGGAACTTCGTGTATGACTTCAGCAAAACACATTAGAAAACGTCACTACAGTACTTTTAAAACTAGAGGGAACTCATGAAAGTTGGATCAATGGCTGTGGAGCCTACAAGGGACTGGATTAGGCCATTTGCATGGCAAGACAGTTGTGTAGCTTGATCTGCTTGGGAGACCCCCGGTAGTAGGATCAGAATCCATCTCTGGTGCCTGAGGGGGCTTTTTGGAGCCCTCTACCCATGATGGGACATCTCAGGCAGCCTTGAGGCAGGGGGAAGGGATTGGACTTGCCTCTACTAGATGTGCCTCCCCATGGGAGGCCTTGCCTTCATGTGGGTGGGAGTGGGGGAGGGTTTGAAGAGGGAGGCTGAGGGGGGAGGGAATAGGGGGATCTTTGGTATATAAAATGAATGAAAAAAATTTCTTAATAAAAAAATAGAAAATGAAAAAAATGCTCATAGTAGAATGAAATTTATATTTTGTTGAGTATACTTTACTTATTGTATTGTTTTGTTCAATATACCTTATTTTTACAGTAATGTCTCCCAAGAATTCCGAGCATGGAACAAACTAAAATCTAAAAATTACAGAATTACTTGTCAAGGACAAAACTGATAGCAGGGATAGGTGATGTGTGTCTGCCAAACAAAAGCAAATACTGACCTTAGGAGGTACTATGAGAAAGTTACAGCCATTACTACAGAAATAGAATTTGCAACAGAACCAACTCGGGATGTTTTCTTTTTGTCATTTCATGGACTTCTCCCACAAATAAAATGTCCTCTAGTAATCCAAGCACTTGCCAGTAATTAATCTACATACTACATACTTTCAAATTCTAGAAGCTTCAGAAGAAATCACTACCATAAAACTGCTATTATTGCTTTCCCGACTTGTTTATTAGGAGAGTGACATATAAGTAAACTAATCCCAAGCCAACCTTCTGAGTATTCAGTTTCCTTTTACCTGTGTGACAGTCTTGTACCAACTAGAAAGTGAATCCATTGAATAATTTGTCTTTTTGGGGGTGTTAACACTTTTCACCTCTTTGGAATTTTCATCTACACAGCAGTCCATCAACTGTGAGGTCAACTTTTGCAAAAAGTGTTTCACATCTGCAGAATATAAAAAGCAAGAAAACTTATTCACTGAAACCTCTGATAAGCTGATTGCATTATTTGAGTGGAGTATATTTTTTTCTGTATTTCATCAATATAGTTAAAATATGCCATATATATATAATGACTCATTAGTACCCTTCCCTTATTATTTAAATTTATTAGGGGCTGGACATGTTCAGTTGGTACTGTACTTGTCTAGCATGCACAAAACCCGAGAGTTGACTGCCAGTACTCAATAAAAACAAATGTGGTCAAGCATGCCTGAAATCCCTTAACAGACGGCAGGAAGATCAGAAGTTCAAGGTCATCTTTTGCTACACAGTAAATTCAATGACAGCCTGGGTTACATGAAACCCTTTCTAAGTAAGATAAAATAAATATATTTCATTAGTTCAGAATAAAATCAGATCAAAATTTATGTGTATTATCTACAAGTATTATCTAAGCAAATATATAAGCAGGAAATCATAAATTATTTTTAGAATATCATGTACTTACTTTCTGAACAACAAAAGAATGTCACGGTCCTTAACATCCAGAGTTATAGGAACTATTTTATTGATTATAAATCTTCCTTTACACTCATTTAAAAAAGACATCCTTAAGACTTAAATCCTAATTCATCACAAGAGTAGTACATTAAATCTGTTACCAGTCCAGATGAAAACAAATCTGAGTATGATAGTGTGCATTTAATGGCTTTACAGACTCAAGTCTGGCTCTGCCAGACTGTTTTGTTTAACCACTGATGGCCTTTTCAAGTGGGAAAATAAATTGATTTATGGCAATGAGTAAAAATGAGTGAGACATGCACAGAGTGGGAGCCAGGCAGGGTAGAGGTGAGCATAATTTTGTAACACCTCACCAAGAAACCATGCCATTTATATTTTACCTGGACAATCCTTAGCTTGTAATGAGACTATATATGGTGTGACATTATTCTGAAGGGTCTCTGTTAGACTTCTGAATATTAAATCATGATCTGTGACATTCACACCTATGAGAAAATAAACAACATAATGTCATCATCTTCATTAATAATTTAATTAAGGGTATTTTAAAAAGCAAAGAAAGCATTGAATGAAAACAGTTTAAAAACACGATTTGCAATAGAAATCCAGAAAATTGCAACAGGACTCCACTCTACTCACAGAACATGATCTAAAGGAAATGTGGTACAGTTTAGTCCTGAACAGCCCATGGCCCAGTTGGTGAAGGCATGGGTTTCAACCTAGATTCTTACTGGGAGATGGTGACATCTACTGGAAGAAGGTTGGTTCCTGTCTATCCCTATCTGCCCAGAGGTAAGCACTTTGTTAACTAAACACTGCTCTGTGGTGATATTTTATTTGTGCTGAAATATGGTGATATTTTATTTGTATGTTAATAAATAAAGTTTGCCTGGAGATCAGAGGAAATAGCAAGCCATTTTAAGTAAATGCAAAAGTCAGGCAGTGATAGCACATGCCCTTCATCCGATCACTTGGCAGGCAGGGTCTCTGTGTGTTCAAGGCCACACTAGGCAACAGAGCCAAGTTTAGTGAAACACGCCTTTAATCCCAGTACCAACCATAGAGACCTGGAGGTCTGTACAGACAGGCAGTGACAAGGAAGTGAGGTAGCTGGGCTAAGAGCCAATGAGAAGACAGAACAGCAAGGCAATAAAAGCCTGGGTAGACAGGAAGTCGTGGCATTTTATAAGTTGCAGAGCTGGTGAGGTAAGGTTGGTTGGTGGCTCTCACTATTTCCCTGATCTCTAAGGATTCCACCACTATATTTGGCTCTGTGTTTATTTAATAAGACCGCTTAGAAATTCAGCTCCACTACTCCATAATATACTATCTCAGAACATGCCCCAAAGCCAGGAGCCAACTCAGTATACAACAAAATTCTTGAAACCATGAGTCAAACAAACATTTCCTTTCTTTAAGTTCATTACCTAGATTATTTTGTCAGTATCAAAAAGTTAACACAACTAATTTGTCCAGAAAGGCCTGTAGTTCAATTCTTCCTTTGAAAAGATTGCTAAGTATATATAATTGACCTTGGAAAATAGCTTAGGAGCAATTTCATTACTTTATCAAAGTCCCACAGAAATCATTAGTCATTTAAGTACAAGGGACTAAAAAAATCTAACCCTTTTGTGACCTTCCTTAAACACTGAGGATAAAAGATGAATACTATTATTGAAATCACAGTAGTTAATTGAAAAGTGTAACTAATTTCTGAAAGAACTGAAACAAATTAAAACTTTGGAACTTCAGTATTTATCAAAGCACCCTTTCATTTTGAAAAATCAGTTTTTGATGCTCTCTATATGGTACATCAGAATTGGTTGGAAATTTCTCCACTACTTTGGAATTCATTCTGTTAATTGATACCTTCCTTAACAACCTGTGACTTAGAATGCCAACATTCAGGAAGCAGAGGCAGGTGTGAGTTCCAGGACAGCCTGGCCTACATATTGAGTTCTAGGGTAGTCTGGGAGACAGAGAAACCCTGTCTCAAAAAAACCAACAGGAAAAAAAAATTCTTTGGCATTTGAGCAGATAGCAGCACATATATCTTCAACCTGCTTTAGCCTAGTCATACAAGTTCTAGAAACTTGTCATACAGGATTTAGAAACAAATTTCAGAATCATTCATGCCAGCAATAAGCAAGCAAAAAAAGAAAACCTACAAGACAAGTGACGTATATTTTACTTTCTCAAGCAAAACAAAAGAGTCATCTTTGGTTGGGTTTCATACAATGCACAGTCCATACTTGTGTTAATGCAGATATGTATGTTACCTTTGAATATTTGCATGTTTTCAGAAAGGGCCCAGACATCAATGAAAATGAGTGACCCAGGTGATCCAGCCTCTCAGAGTATCTCTGTTGCAGTTTCCTTAGAGTTCTATATCCAGAACAGCTTCAAGGCTGCTGGCTGAAATGGTCCAGCCTCAAAGATTACTCCAGCTAGACTTCAAATAAGCCCTCCATTTTCCCATCACATGGAAACTAGACAACAGCTACCTCTCCCAGGACTTAACCAGTATCCTAATTTTCTCAGGGTCCCCCAAAGATGCCAGTGTCCCCAGACAATAAGAAGCAGTCTAGAGAATAAAACACCCATATTACCAAGAGATAGAGTGGATGGTTTTTGGTCATTCAGTGAGCTATAGATGTTTGTCACTGTATAGGGGGTTGGTTACAAACTGTTATTGGTCATGGTAGAAAAAAAAACTGAACAAAGGAGATTAGATTCAGGGATCTCTGAAGAGATAAGGGGGGGAATATAGTATAAAAATGATGAAATAAAAGGGAGGATTTTCTGTTTGTTTGTTTTTTTTTAATTCTGCCTGAATTATTATTCTGCTAAATGAACATAATAACAAATAAGCTTACCCCTAAGTTCTTATTTTTATACCATAGATGAGTACATCTCTCAAGCCTCCTCAGAGAAGCTTTTGGTTTTTTCGAGACAGGGTTTCTCTGTGTAGCTTTGCGCCTTTCCTGGAACTCGCTTTGGAGACTAGGCTGGCCTCGAACTCACAGAGATCCGCCTGCCTCTGCCTCCCGAGTGCTGGGATTAAAGGCGTGCGCCACCACCGCCCAGCTGAGAAGCTTCTTTTGAAGACAGTGATTAATACACAGACATACAGTCACCATGACGAGAATAAGCCTGTGGAGTGTGTAAATTCCAAATGGAATTAATCACAGCCCCTCCACCCAAGGTTCAGAGAGCATTGTAGAAGAGGGGGCAGAAAGATCTCAAGAGCCATAGAGAAAGATGCCTGTAGAGAAACATATTAATCAGACATAACAGTGCAGTTATACCCATTAAGTCAGAGAGGCTGCCATTGCATGCAGAATATTTTCACAGGATTAAGCTGACAAAAATACCAGCATAGATGGAAGGGGGATTATCAAGTTCCTCCCTTAACTGAAGAGTTATTGATGGCTGCTGGGAGAGGGAGTCAGTTTCTCCAAGTCAAATAAATGAAAGAATGGAGAAGGAAAATGCAAACTGATAAAACTAGAAACGAGAAGGGGGACATGATAATAGACAAGAAAACCCAGAGAATCATATGACATACTTTAAAAATCTGTATCCAACCAAACTGAAAAACCTAAAAGAAATGAATAAACTTCTTTATAAATACAGCTTACCAAAGTTAAATGAATATCAGATAAGCAATTTAAACAGATATATAATTCCTAGTGAAATAGAAGCAGTAATTACAAATCTCCCAACCAAAAAAAGCGCAGAGATAGACAAACCCAATATAGAATTCTACCAGACCCTCCAAGAACTAATGCCAATACTTCTCAAATTATTTCACAGAATAGAAACCAATGGAACATTGTATAATTCTTTTTACGAGGCCATAATTAACCTGATATCTAAACCAAAGACTCAAGAAAGAATAAAAATTACAGACCAATATCCCGTATGAACAAAGATAAAAAAATTTCAATAAAATACTTGCAAATAGGATCTAAAAACAAAACAAATACATATTTAACAATTTACACATCCAATAGAGTTAGTAGCTAAAATATAAAGAATTCAAAGAACTGGACATCAAGAAAACAAATAAACTAATTTAAAAATGAGCCATATAACAATACAGAATTTTTGAAAGGGGAAACACAATTGGCTGAAAAAAACTTAAAGAAATGTTCAGTATCCTTAGCCATCAGGGAAATGCAAATCAAAATTCCTTTGAGATTTCATCTTAAACCTGTCAGAATGGACAAGATCAATAAAACAATGGGAGCTCATGCTGATGAGGATATGGCGTAAGGGGAACAGTGGTCCACTGCTGGTGGGAGTGCAAACTCTTACAGCCACTATGCAATCAGTGCAGTGTTTCCTCCGAAAGCGAGGAAGAGATCCACCTCAAGATGCAGCTATTCCACTCTTGGGCATATCTACTCACAATAGCCAGAACCTGTAAATAGTCTAGATGCTCATCAGTGGATAAATGGATAAAGAAAATGTTATACATTTATACAATGGAACATTATTCAACTGTTTAAAAAAATAATGAAGGTCACAGGAAAATGAATAAAGCTTTAAAAAAAAATCACCTTAACTAAGGTTACCTGGACCCAAAAAAGATAATATTGCACGTATTCTCTTAGATGTGGATCTTAGCTTTTAAACCTTCAATAGGCATGCTACAATCCATATAACCACTGAGGTCAGGCATAGAGAAGGGACTGTGGGGAGGGAAGGACCTACAAGGAAGGGGTGGTAGAATAAGTAGTTATGGAGAAACAGGGGAATGACTGGAGAGAGTGGATTAAATGGGGAGGGAAGGGAAGAAGGGTAAAGATGGGAAGAGGGTAGGGACAGGTAACATTAAGTGCCATTTGAGGGGTCATATGGAAACCTACTACTGTAGAATCTTCTTAAAATATATACATATATGAAACAAATTTAAGTGGAATAGCAAAACAATGTGGGAGACAAAGCCCCAACCAGACATCTTTTGCCACCAAGTAAAAACTCCAGTGCCAGGAATAGGTTAAATCTATGTGAGTCATTGGCCAAAGAGGCCCCATGGAAACTGTGGTGAATGGCCCCAATATTCCCAAGTCTCAACATTTGATTCTCAGTTGGTGGACTGTTTAGGAAGGATTTGGAGGTGTGGCTTTGTTGGGGTGCATGTGTTACTGGGGGTATGTTTTCATACTTTAAAATCCCACACCAGACCCAGTCTCTCTTGCTCTGACTCCTCCTTGAATCGGAATATAAGCTCTCAGCTTCTGCTCTATCACCATGCCTGCCTGACACTATGCTCCCTGCCATGATGACAATGGACTAACCCTCAGACACTGTAAGCAAGCCCTCAATTAAATGCTTTCTTTTAGAAGTTGCTTTGGTTATGGTGCTTTTTCATAGCAGTAGAAGAGTAACTAAGAGAAACTCCCGAACAACTTAGGCTATTAACAAGGCCATTGGTTGCTCTCCACAAACTGACAGGCCCTACTGCTGCATACAACGCTTACACACTACACGTTCTCACTGAACACTAAAAAACCAAGCTGATGCCTAACTAGAACATTTACCCCTCCTGACTAGTGTTCATGGTACTGGAAGGTACTCTGCATGCTACCTGAGGAGAAAGGCCAAGCTACAGACCCTGCAGTCTTACAATGATTACCCACCTACATGATATGCTGTTGCAATAGGAGCACAAATGCAAGAGTAACAAACCACTATCTGACTGGATTTAAGACCTACTTTATAAGATGGAGCCTGTGCCTGACACTGCTTCAGTGACCAAGATCCTGAAAACTGATAGGCCAGGGGCCTAGGGAAAAACAAAATACTATTGCTCTGCTGCTACGGGAACACAGCAGTAAAATGACTCCGAATGACATTTTGCTGTACCCATGGATCAGTGCCTTGCTCAGTCATCATCAGAGAAGCTTCCTCTGCAGTAGATGGGAACTATTAGAGACCCAGACCCACAACTGGACAATGTGCAAAGAATGAGAGATTTTAGAACACCCAGTACTAAATGGGATGCTTTCATCAAAATCTCCCGCTCAGGGCTTAGGGATCTATGGAGAAGAGGAGGCAGAAAGATTTTAAGAGCCAGAGGGGATGGATGACACCAAGGAAACAACGTCTTCATGACGAAACAAGACTGGCACACATAACTCAGAGAGACTGTGGTAGTATACACAGGGCCTGCACAGGTTCAAGTCAGACAGGGTCCCAGTGCTCAAAGGTGGAAGTGAACATGAGCTGCTGTCCCTGACCAAGAAACCAAACTACTTGCAAAGAAAAAATTAAGTTTTCTCCAATGGCATCTCACTGGGTATATTAACCACACTTATAGGCAAGTCCCAGATCCAGCAGTAGATGACTATTACAAAATGAACAACGGTATTTCTGCAGACTTCTTGTCTCAAGTGCTATGTTTGGACATTTTTGTCTTACTGGTCTTCTGCGTGTATGTTATGGTTTTTGATTTTTGTGGTTTTATGGGTTTTGCTTTTGGGGGTGTGTGTGTGTGTGTTTATTGTGCTTTTTGTTTTATTTATTTTGTTTTACTTGGGCCTTTTTTTTTTTTTTTGTCTGTTTTTTAAAGAGAGAAAGAAAGAAGGTGTGGAATTAGGTGGGTAGAGAGGATGTGGGAGGAGTTGATGGGAAGGAAAACTATGATCAGAATATATTGTATGAAAGAAATTATTTTCAATTAAGAAAAGTATAAAAAAACCTGAGAAAATGCTGTTAATAAATCAGATATTTTTGTATTATCCAGAAACATAAATATTTGCTCTAAATTAGATATTGATGAGTATTTTTAAAAATTATAACCTGTAAATTAGAAACATTTATATACAATTTACACAAATCTTTCCCTATGCAATCAATATTAACATAAGAGGATCTGAAATTGAGATATCAAGTGCAAGAAATAAAGTAAATATTATAAATGAATTTCAATGAAGATATGATTTTTTTAAAAGGTACAAAAAATAAGATCTACTAAAACACTGATGTTTTATTACTGAATTCTAATTTCATTTCTCTAAAAACATTTGAATATAATATATATATAAATATATGTATATATTTATGACTATATAATAAACTTATTGATTTACAAAGTATGAAGTCAAATCATAGTTGTTTTAATTTTAAGAGCTTTATCAGGCTGGGCAGTGGTGGCACACACCTTTAATCCCAGCAATGGGAGGCAGAGCCAGATGGATCTTTGTGAGTTTAAGGCCAGCCTGGTCTAGAGAGAGAGATCCAGGACAGGCACCAAACCTGCACAGAGAAACCTTGTCTTGAAAAACCAAAAAAAAAAAAAAAAAAATTTATCAGAACAAAACGTTTTCCACTATTCTCCTAACAAAAAAAATTAACAAATATGCATAGGCAAGCATGCATAAACAGATACATACATACCAAGAATAAGAGCAGCAGTGGGAATTTCTCTCAGTTTCATTTGACAACCCCAATTTCTTGAATTTTTCTGGAAATCAGAATGGGACTTTTGCAGAAAGTCAATTAGATTATCAAACAGGTTTTTATTTAATTCCTCCTGTAATTGCTGCAATGAAAACAAAATTTCATGAATTGTAATAGTAGTAATCTGGCATTCCTTTCCTGGTGTCTTAGCTAGGGTTTCTATTGCTATAAAAAGACACCATGACCACAGTAACTCTTATAAAGAAAAACAATTAATTGGGGCTGGCTTACAGTTTCAAAGGTTTAGTCCATTATCATCACGGTGGGACATGGTGGCGTGCAGACAGACATGGTGCTGGAAAGTAGCTGAGTGTCCTACATCTTTACTTGCAGGCAATAGGAGGTGTTCTGCGATATTGAGTGTGGCTTAAGCATATGTGAGATCTCAAAGCCTGCTTCCACAGTGACACACTTCCTCCAACAAGGGCACACCCACTCCAACAAAGCCACACACCTCACAATAGTGCCACTCCTTTGGGGGCCATTTTCTTCCAAACTACCACATCACGTGCAGGAAAATTTCAATTTTCTCTTCTCTTTGAATGTTCAGTAATTTTAGTTGTGTGGCAATAGATTAACAGGGTAAAAGAACCCCACAAATGTATCACACAGTATACTGAACGGCAATAAAAGGGGTGGGGAACCACACAAATATATTCAGACAATGTATTGCAAGTGACTAAAAGGGGGAAAAACACACAAGTATATTAACACACAATGAGTAACATACAATGTACTGAGAGAGAACAAAAGGGCAAGATGGCTGAAGCTTAAACTACATTCTGTTTGTTTTGTTTTTTTCTTGACAGGGTTTCTCTGTGTAGCTCTAGATGTCCTGGAACTCATGCTATAAACCAGGCTGGTCTCGAACTTACAGAGCTCTGCCTGCCTCTGCCTCCTGAGTGCTGGGATTGAAGGCCTGCATCACCCATTGTGTTCTGATATATAGAAAAAAGTGTCAGTGGGGCTTCTTGGGTTGAAGGGGACAGGGTGAAGTTTGGGAGGTAAAGTAGGAAAGAATAAGGGCGGCAAGTTGCAGAAACGTGAGAGTAAAACACTAACAAAGATGGTTTCTCAAAGCCACCCTGTGTCTGCAACTTCTCAGAAGAGCCATCTGGAAATATACTGAAGTACAGTGTATGGAGGGAGACATGGCTTAGCCAACGAAATAATGTACTGATCTTTTAGAGGACCTGAGTTCAGTTCTCAGAACCGACATGGCAGCTCATTACCATTTTTAGCCCCAGTTCCAAGAGTCTGACACATTTGGCCTCTTCCATGGGCATCTACACATGTCTGCACATACCCCCTACACAGGAACACATATACACATAATTAAAAATTGAAAAGTAATTCTAAAAAGAGGAGTGTATTTTGGGGTATTCTATTTTGACCCTTGCTGATTTTAGAAAGAAAAGTATCATAGATGCAGTAGAAAGATTATATATAAAATGGATAACAGCTGGGTGAAATAAAGGTTTTCCTTAAATTTCTGAAGATTAGTGCTTTGGATTACTCCCTTTAAAAATCTCTCTTTTGGGGCTGGAGAGATGGCTCAGAGGTTAAGAGCACTGACTGCTCTTCCAAAGGTCCTGAGTTCAATTCCCAGCATCCACATAGTGGCTCACAACCATCTGTAATGAGATCTGGCACCCACTTCTGCATACATAATAAATAAATAAATCTTTAAAAAAAAATTCTCTTTTGAGTGAGTTCCAGGAAAGGCGCAAAGCTACACAGAGAAACCCTGTCTCGAAAAACCAAATAAATAAACGAACAAATAAATAAAAATAAATATCTCTCTTTTATTCATTCCATAACAATTCACTAATCATTTTGTGTCTATGATAGATAGTCTTTCCTAAAAAGGTAAGTAGACAAAACCAGAACCATCTACTTGAAGCTGAAGAGGTAATTTATCTGAATCAAAGCACTACCTGGTGATACAGAGGATGAAGGGAGGAGGCAAAGGTAAGGTGGAAGGACAAGCTGTAGAAACAAAGAAAGCACAACACTGGCTAACCACTGGTCCAGCTGACCATGAAAGAATCCAACGAGAGAGGAAAAGAGGCTACCCAAACAGGTCCAAGTCTAGATCGTGCAACACCACGACTTTAAAGGATTTGGAGTTCATACTCTAAGGAGGGCACCCAAGGAGCTCTAAGGAGTGAAGGCTAATTTGGTACTGTTGTGAAGGTCAGAGATAAAGGAGGTCGTACTGATAAGAGGGTTAATGAAACCCATCCCAAAGGTGGGATAAAGCTGCATTTGCCTGAAATGGGGGAATGTTCCTAATATGACTCCGACACCAAAGAGCTATTGGCAGGTTAGAAGGGTGTGATGTCAGAAGACATTATGGGGATTTTATGATAATCTAAGTTAAGCAATGAAGACAGACAGGAGCTTGTGAGGTATTTCAGCAGTTAAAAGAGCACACTGCTCAGACTGAAGGCTGGCGCTCAGTTCCCAGCAGAAGGCTTACAACTATCTGTTAACTCTAACTCCAGTGAATCCAGTGCCCTTCTGGCATCTGAAGGCACCTGTACCCGTGTGCACCCACTCACCCACATACACACAATAACTAAAAGTAAAATAAATCTTAAGAAAAAAAAAAAGAAACTAGAAGATAGCGTAAATTGGAAACCATAAACTCAAGTATCTTTGAGGCCTACATGAAAAACATCAATGAGCAAAGTAAGTATAAAGTAATAAGGATAGATGAAAAGCAGTAAGAGACTAGAAAGTAGGTGAGCCAGAAAGATGGAGCACAAGGTCCTCAGTTAGAATTCCCAGCACCCACTAAAAGCTGTGTGTAACTCTCATTCAAAACCAAAACGCTATAGCAACATATTGGTTAAGCAGAATAAGCTGTTGGCACTGGAGCTACCGACTTGCTATACTGGAGATACTCACAGCCAGAACATGTAGTAAGTTCTAGGCCAGCCTGAGCAAGTCCATGTCTCAAGAAGAAACCAAAACAAACAAAACACAGTGAAAACTGGATGTTAGAACAAGTTTAGAAATCGCTTCCTTTCAGACTTGTCTAATTTCTTAACTGAATTTAAGAGTGAGTGTCACCAGCCGGGCGGTGGTGGCGCACGCCTTTAATCCCAGCACTCGGGAGGCAGAGCCAGGCGGATCTCTGTGAGTTCGAGGCCAGCCTGGGCTA